AGAGTCATCGTTGAAGCCGACTTTGTTCTCGCGCACTAATATTAATCCGCTTTTTCTCACCTCCACGAAAACGTCGCCGTTTACAAGGCACCGGTCGTCCACAGCTAACATAGTTGGAACTTCGAGCTTTTTTTTTTTTAGGTTACACTAAATTATTCATATGCCATAGGCCATTTCCATTTCTTTTATGTAGCTTGCGCATTGGCAGTGTGAAAGAAAACAAGGTTCAGCTCATACGTGTACATCTTTTCAAAGCTAGTAGCAATATATAAGATAATAAAGTTCACGGACCTCTTACGATTTGGGTTAGTATTAGTAAAATTAATTAAAAAAATTCGCTACTGCAAACTTTTTGGATGAATTTAACTATTTATATGAGACGAGCTTCGGAATGTGCAGATGTTAACTACACGAATCAGCAAGATGTAATTACATACTTTTTTCTTCTATTACTTTGATTACAGCGGGCTTTAGTAGACAACAAGCCGTTACTTCATACATGTTATAGCCACATATTTTCACGGGGCGTCCTCTTATATTTTCACGCTCTGTCATGCGTCGTTTGTCTGTCGGTGTGTAACGATTCACTATACTACAGATTATTTCTCGCAGTAGAGAAGATTAGATTAGCCAGAAGCTAGTGACCAACGATCTGTATAGATGAATTCGATCCGGTAACGTTGGGAGAAGAGTCCTCCCCAACATTTCATCGGCAGCAACTGCACGCGTAACAAGAGGATCAGTAGCAGGGAATAGATACGTCAGCACCGCTTCGTACGCCGGCCCGTTATAGTGTTGTTGTATGTGCTGGTGGCCCGCCTATACGCGTACATCGATTAGCAGATCCACGTGACCACCGCGCGCCTTTTCCATCAGTGCTGCAGCAGAAAAAGAGGACGAAATTTCGCATTTCTCGCTTACTGGTGCAGCTGCTATTGATTTTCCGTACCAATAACGTTTGACGCCCCGTGCCTTTGCTAAGCAGGAGGTAATTGTGGCAATGGCAATGCGAATCAGCCTGCCACCCAAATCTGCCGGCACCTTGTACACACATTTATACACACGTATATGTACATACATCCGACTGAGGCAGCTTGGCTATGGAAAAAGCAAAGAAAGTGGAGCTCCAATTAGAGCCCCGTGGATGCCTGGATATCTTGCCTAATTGCTTTGCCTCTTGGTTGTTTGACTCCATCTCAGCCAGTAGGCCGTGTGCTGGTCCACTGTCCTATCAGAGATTGCCGGCCGATATCTGCGAAGTAACTACAATTCGGAATACACCAGCAGCAGCAGGAGCAGCAGCAACACTTGCGGTAACAACAACGACATTGCTGGTAAAATGTTTCTTTCGAGTTATAACCACGTGGTGCTAAACTGGTTTACCAGAACCGGACGAATTGATTCATTTGGATTGCTATGGCGCCTGCAAGTGTCCAGCCACTGACAAGCCATTGCTGTTGGGTGTCGTTCGTAACCGTTCCACCTTCGTCCTTACGATGGCGGTATCATCGGAAACCCAATACGAAAGTGGGCACGTACCATTTCAACATCTAGAACCTTGCCCGTTTTTGGTCCACGCTTCGATACGTGTTCGTGTCTGTGTGTTAACAGGATCAACTGCGGTTTAACCAAATACAATGCGGTGGTCGCTGGTGTCGCTGTTGTTGCGGTGATGGCATTGATAGTCTTAATTGTTCTATTTTAGCGGCGGATTCGCGCGTTCGTCGGATAGAAAATTGTTTTACAGTTCTTAAAATCGTGGTCGTGCCATATTTACGTAAAAGTCATAAATGCTAATAGGGATAGTTTATGTATAGCAAAAAAAAGGGCATACAAGGTCTACACCATTAGACAGTAATGCGCAAATGGCCAATTTGGCAAACGTTTTGGAAACAGTGCGTCACCGGCACTTTCGCATATGACTATATTTGCATCTGCAACATGTCACAAGCTAGAATAGAAAATGTGCGTCAAACCGTACAAACTAAACCTTAAGGTACGAAAAAAGCCTAAAAAAATATGCATTTAAAAATATTTAAAGATAAATGTCTCACATGTTACAGAACAAACGTTAAATACTTGTATCCTGGGTGGTATCACCCGACAGATCTACACATAAAATCAACGACCTGTGTATAAGTTGGCCTCACTTATAAACAATGAAAATCTAACAACGCCCAGTATAAGTGACCTTCTGCTGAACTTATATTGACAGCCGAGATACGAAGAAACAATAATATACCACATACGTTTCGGCGCTTCCTACCGCGATATGAGTCTGCATGCTAGCTGGAGCTTACATATAACCATTGTTGGCCCGACAACGTAGATGCTCCAGGTAGCATAAACAGAATAGAATCTGTTGAATCTAAATATAAACATTCTTTGTGAAAAAATAATAAGGAAAATCGTCCTTAGTCGTATGACAATAATCTATCTCTTAGTATTTGCTCTTTTATTAGAAAGCGCTTGCCATTGCCAAAGCCATCTGCTTAAAAAAACTTTCAGAAAATGTCGAGGTTCATTGGATTTCCGATATTCATTCGGTCATATAATTTCATCGAACAATAGAAAAAGCTATAGAGATAGCACAGACTAAGTTAGAATTATTGTATGGTGTGAAACAAATGAAGTTGCTTACGTTTTCCTTTGCCTCTAACCAATGCCACTGTAAAAAAAGCTTTCCGTTAAGTGATAAACACTTGATTTCTTGGAAATATTGTGTCCGTATGATACTCGTATTAGTAAGTCATGACGCCATTTCGTATGGCCAGTGATCGTTTGTCACCCAAATTGCGGATAAGACTCAAGTTAGTAACTAACTACGTTCGTTTTTTGCCCGTTAAAAAAATTCCCTGCAACCTTTGGCAAATACATGAAAGCATGCGTGGACAGCCATTGTTTTCGCGAAAACGTATATCTCTTATACTGTGCTAAATCACTATGCCGTTTTAATCAATCACGTTATGCGTTATCACAGGTGAAATAGCAAATAAAACTCTTGATTGTTTACAAAAACAAAAAAAACAACGTTATAAACAAAAATATATCATGTAGGCATACAAATAATAATAGTTCACCGGCACAAGCCTTCTGTCTATGCAGTCAGCTTCAAAGACTTCAAAGAGGTCGAAATAAATTATCGTTTTGTTTTTGCGCTTATTAAGTTGGTCATCTGTTACTCGTAGTACAGCTACTTAATAGCCGTCCTAAGTATCGCAGACGAAAATCGCTTTGAGGCGCGCGGTGTTTGCGGCGTCTTGCTTATAAAATTGATGCAGAAATCTAAATTCAATTTTGGATACGTTTTATAACGAAGAGAAAACACATTTTTATCCGTGCACCGATGGAGCTGTTGGGTTAAATACACTGAACACGCCTTACATGGACACGTACGTCTGCGTAGATAACTATGTATGGTCGTGCTATATTATTTACTTATTATACCTATGGGTGATAAATTTATCCGATGAATTTTGGATGTAAAACTCATCAACGGTATGTGTTCATGTTACTTCTTAATTGATTTTTCTGAGTGAAGATAATTTTATCCACAAGTGCTGCTTCGTTGACAACAGTCAACTTGATAATAATAACGATACCTTTCACATAACGCAATGAGAGAAAAAGCATTTAATTCTGCCAACACTCTCGAACACCCTTGCCGTACCTATGAGTTTAGTTCTTCAGGCCACAAATTTCCATCACATTCAACACAAACCTAAAATGGATTCGCCTGATCGAACAGTAGATTTGAAACATTTTCCTCTTAATTCTTAAAAAAAATTTCCCAGGCGTGAGTAACATTAGAGTTTCCGCTCTCCAAAGCTATGAATCACTATTACATTATCGTTTATTACGTTGTCAATTATACTGCGGCGATCTCCATACAAGTTGATTTTAACAGAAAGAGTTCACAGGCGATCGCTTTTTTTTAACAGGGAACATAAAAGGTCAAGAGTGTTACTTTGTTCAGTTCAGGAACCTACTACTTGATACAAATAACTTCGAAATTTTTTAAACTCGAAATTAAAAAGTTTAAGCCGACAGGTTCAAGGTGATAGTATTTAGAATTATTAGGGTATTATGAGTTGCCCGGTAAACGTATGCCGTAAGTTTTATATTTATATTTATGATTAACTGGATTGAAGCCGAAAACAGGCGTAGGTTGCGTATTGCTCAAGTGTAATTCGTATTTAATTTAAAGTATTCAAACAAGAAAATTATTAAGAATTACGGAATACAAAAGCTCGTTATGCAATATGTGCTACACGGCTCGTATCAATCGTGATTTAAATCAAGTAGCCGTCAAAAGTTTTTTCGAAGACGAGCGTCCTGTCTAAGTAAAACCATCCCTCCTCCGATAGCAGAAAGCAGACAGTTTCGAATAGTTCCGTCCCATTTTGTTAACTTTCACAACCTACCGGAACGAATGACTTCTATTTAACTCTTTGTTAACTATCAAGTTTAAAACATAATACTCAGTCTGTGCTTTGGAGTACCAGGCGGAAAGCAATCTTTTCTCAGTTCTAGGCAAACCTTCTCTCATAAAAGTTAGATTGATTCTTTCGATGTTGATGTCTTGTGAAAAAAAAAAAAAACAGGTTACTAAACTAGTCTGAGAGACATGTATGTATTTCCTATGACGACAGAGTGTATTCAAAGAAATTTAAACGATTGAGTTACAAGATGCGGAACGTGACCGCCGAAACCGAATGTTGTATACATGCTCCTTGCAGATTTGCTAATTTGCTCAAAGTCTACGATACGGTACAAACGCTCCGACCAGCGCCACTATAAACCATACATAAGTTTAAGTGATTTGAGGGAATTGGGCATATAGTATATATAGACGTAATAGAAAAATGCGATCTGTTTGCCCTGACGCGTTAGATCCCTACTTCAGCGAACTAAAAAAGGCTATATAATTAAACCTATAGTGTATACATCGGTCCGGGATGCTACCTAATCAATTAATCCTCCGCTAATCTGTATTTCAGGTGTATTACCGAATGGAAAGATAAGCGTTCGGCTAAAACCGCCTCCCGATAAATCAGACGTGACATTCTTCAATGCATCTCTAGTCACTCATACGCTCAGCAGTGATTTTCTCCACAGTAAGACGTGTGTTAATGCGTTCACTAGCATAGAAACTAACGTGCTCATTATTCCCGACTAGCATTTCTGGAAGCGTAATCGACTATTACGTGGAGATCAAAATCTGGAAGGAACTGGCAAACAAATGTTCACTTTGGTTATAATGGCAGGTGTAGTAGCCGACATGTATTCGTTTCATGTATTTGGTTCATTATCGATGAAACTATTACCCCATTATCCAATTACTGCTTATGTTCGCCTAGAAGTGGTTGAGGAAACGAATGTTTACATAGACGCCCACAAGATGTTCCTCCAAAGCAACACGGCCCTTTCTATGCTATGTTCGTATTTACTCGATGGTGTTCTGCACTATTGTTTTACACGAAAACATTCGAAATTATGCTTCGGCATAGATCAGGTCCAGTATTCAATAGACGTACGCCGATAGTAAGCCATTAAAGTCCTGAGAACAAATTTTCTTTGCTGTTTTGTTATGTGCCTTGTTCACGTTCTCGTAGACGATACCGCATTAGCTCGTCTAGTGTTTTCAGAAAGATTCTACAACTGTTTTTATAAGTTATTTTTATAAAGGTTAATAAGTAACGATTTGCATCTAGTTTATTTAAATTCGATGTAATTAAGTTGTTCTAATTTGTTATTAAACTATTGCCTGATGATTTTCAAGTTTCTAGTATAGCATGTTTTGTGTATCTTCACCGTTTTGGCTGAATATAGCTTATGCGGCGCATATGTACGGCGCGTTGAACCTTCATTCAAATGGCCAGCGAGGAAATGGAATCGTGATAGCAGATTCGCCTTTACACAGGTCGCATTCTCGCAAAAAGCGGTCTGTGCTACAGCTAGCGTCAATGCTCAAATGTGTATCTGGATGCAGTCCTCTTGCCTTTCATGGCTATGGCTGTTTCTGCGGTTACATGGGCGACGGATCCCCAGTTGATCCAATCGACAGGTAATACGTACCATGCGGCATCTGTAAACAAAGACATACGACAAGTAGCTAAGCGCCCAGTTTTTCTACATAATAGATTTGCACCTAAACAAGAGCTGTGACTAATAGCTAATACGTAACCTAGCATCTTAAATACACATACATGGGCACTGAGTATAATGTTTTTCGTTGTGTGTCAAAATATGAAAGTGAAGATGTGTGCCAACTTGTATCTTAAATATTCACTTATGACACCGTTTGATGGTTCTATATCTTTAGCGTTTATGAAATGACTTGGATAACTAAGTCTATGGTTGTAGTAAAGTATCGCTGCTACAACAACACATATTGCGACAACCTGTACGAATAAAGCAAATTATTTTCATTTTGATAGGGACACCAGGAAATCAGCCGTAAGAATTATGTTTAAATTTTCTATTTAAATATATGCAACTTACGCGCCTAATGCTTGTTCTCGTAGCACGTCGATGATTAAAAAAAAAAATAGGTTCAGTTGATACGTCTGAAGACTGTTTCTATAACGGTTATAATGTAACTACTCCGGGTCTAATTAGAAGGAGAGCTATTCACGCCTTCGATGAACTTGTTGAGTTTGCTAGTTTGTATACTTGAATGCAAAGTACGCATATGTTTGGAAGGATATTGTAAAATGATTGCAACAGAGGCCCCCCGTAATGGGTTATCATGTGCTTTTGTTGACTGGATAAGCAGGTCACAACTATCGATGTGAAAGCATGTTTAGTGATACAGGACTTTTTGAATCTTTGTGCTACCGAAAAATAACGCTAATCGTTATTCAGTCTTCTAATGTATCTTCAAAGAAGAGTAGGTTTCTATTCTCTGCGTCTTCGAAGAAACTACGAACTAGCAACTCGTCTGCTTGGGATTCGATGACCCCTCGGAAATGTCCACGGGAACCTCCTCGACTGAACTAGTTATACCCTAAGAAGCCTAATTGACTATACGCCCGAAGAACGAGCATGAGGTGCAAAATATGTTTCACGACCCAACTGACAGAAAACTTTTAACCATCGCGATAGGGGAACATCGACGTAATGGCGCGAGGTCTAGTTGTATCGCCTTTGCGAAGTGTCGTCTAGTTTTTTATCCGATTCCTGTCTCAGCCTTTTGTAATTGTGTTAGAACAGCATAGTTTACTTTCGACACTGTGAATGCTATAATATAATATACGCTTTATATCATTTCATCTTCTATTCAGCTGCTGTCTTGAGCATGACTGGTGCTATTCGTCAACGCAATGTTCGCACGTAGCCACGTACTTCCTACCGTATGACTGGAGCTGCGATGGACCGGGGTATGCTTATTGCGGTACGTATAAGTGGACCTCTGGGACGAGAGAGTTAGGCTGCAAGTGTTAGGTCGTGACGTTTTCAGAGCTGGATAAATTTTCTGAGCATACGTTTACTAAAGATGCACAATTAGTCTTGCATTCTATTACGAAACCAGCTCTGGATCGTGAATTTCATCAGGAAAAGTGAACGCGCGGATAATTCGCGTGATGTTTTACCCTACACTACTTTGATGCCATTCGAAGTATGGACTCACCTTGTATTAGTCGTTATTATAATTATGGTACAAAATAAAATCAGGTGGGCTGTTTGATGTATGCCATTATGTCGAGCTGAAAGCCAGGTAATTGGCACCTTTTTAAACATCTGCTCGGTTAACCTTTAGAACAATTTACTTATCCAATATAGTGAGCTAGAGGTTTATGAATCTGCAGGCTTGTCCGCTCTAGATAATTCTATTTATATCGAACGTTTGAGTGGCTCCACAGGCTTCTCGGATTCGGCAAGTCCGCACGCCCGTTGTGGTCAACAGCTTTGTGAGTGCGATGTTGCCTTCGCCAAGTGCATATCGCGTTACCCGTGCCCAAACCATCGAGCTGGCTGTCGTCAAGGGCGCTCCCTTCTTCGCCGATTATTCGGCGGAAAAAGATAACACAAGCTGAGCTCTGTTCTCGAAGGCTGGCGTCGAGGACAGGTGAATATAAAGCGAATTATCAAGTATGGCTAATACTGGGAAAACGGAAAAGTTCAGATAGCAACACTTGAACAGGAAACATTTCAAGTGTAAATTGGGGTTCGTTTCTACATAACAATTGAAGCTTTTGAGGAAGTCACAAATGAACCCCGAACAACTAATTCCTTAAAACTGATAAAAGGTACTTTCATCAAAGTGTTAGCTAATAGTACTAAATTCGGTTCTACCATATCAGACTCCATTACTAGGCCTATATGACTGTTCTGTGTTGTTTCTACTCTTGTTCAGAGTGAAGACCCCTCTGCGCAAGAAGCCATCGACGAAGCGTTAGATTATCTCCTCGATGACTCCGTTGATGACATAAACAGTGGCACAATTAAGCAGGTAACCTCAACAGATTATTACCTTTAGTCCCATTAAGTGGAAAATTAGTGAAACAGCTATTGTTGCTGTTGTAGTTGTTGTTGTATAAGTTGCATATGTCTCTGAACTCATTCTAAATAAAAACGCAATTTGAAAGGCTCAATAAATGCTTAGTAAACTATGATCATCCTCGCATCTATGTACAATCAAGTGCGAACATGCAAACATGAATGCTGCGAATGATCTACGGTTCACCTCTGCATATCCAACCATTAGATAATGTCTACGTATATTTTATTAAAAAGAACTTGATTATATTTATCTTCAAAATCTAAGTTTTGCCAGTCTAAACTTACTCGGTACATCTTAGTATTTTTTTTCGCCTACTTTGAAGAAATACTACTTACGTTCTGAGCTGAAAGATGTACGCCCATATTGAAGGCACTCAGTTTTGTTTTGACCTTTACGGAGGTTACCTTAAAGCCTTCAGGGACATATTGGAAAGTACCAAGCACAATATACAGATTCACAGGCTCACGGACCAATAGCTGATGGCCTTAGTTGTTCTATAGAAACTGCCTTCCAGCCGAGTGCTGTCTGCCATCAGCTTGTTAACAAAATTTGGAACATTATGTATAGAACATTACTATGAACAAAGGAGTACCTTGTAGTTTATTCTTCTAGTAGCAAAAGTAGCATATATTGGCTTAGAGATAAACTCGTATTCTATGTTTATGTCAAAGTGCTTACAAATAGCTTAGAACCCAGAAGCACCAACAATCGTTTATTCGCTAAATTATATCACGTAACTAGCTGTGTCTACTCGTTGCAGCTTGTTCGCTTGGTCATTTCTTATTAATCACGATTTTTCGTTATATACAGCGGCTTGTCCTTAAATCATCAGGGTAGACGCTGATGATCTAAGGAACAGGAAAGCTGTTTCAGACTTTGAAGCTCCGAGTTCAAATTGTAAGAGAATAGTTATTTTTTTTACTCTAATCACATACTCGTTGTATATGGTTAGTAGTAATGCTTCGTCGGACGTTTTTTCGCTACCAGGTAAGGAAGAAAAGCTCTAAGACAGAAGTGCGCGTCACAGCGGGACTTCGTACGGATCCGTTCACCGGCAAACGGGGCCTTCGAGTGAAGGCTGAGATTGATCGAACAGAATTCGAGACTCAACAGAAAGAAGATGCCAATGACGAACCACTTGGTGGCCTCAGCCCTAAAGGAACACCGATACTGATAGGTGTGCTGCGTCTCTTGTAACTCGGAAGTTCACTGCAGTTAGCTTCTAAAATCATTCAAAATCACGTAAAAATGTTGTCGATAAACCTTATTAACATTCTTTACTTATCTACTTTCATTGACCTGCACATTTTGTGCTGTTATCATTATCTCGTTTTCTGCCTACGCGTCTTAATGGGCTACTTAATTTTTGAAATTTTGTGACAACGTTCCACTAATAGACGTTATAATCATTATTATTCATTGAACTGGTGATTAGAGGAGCATCATCACGCCATTGCTGATGGGGATTCGCCCGTCGGGAATCCGCTTAGCTTTGAAGACAATGGTGAACCTAGCGGTGAAGAAAATTACGACTTTCATGTGGAAAGCGACATTTCCTCTACAGATTTGGAAAGTAATGCTCAGGATAATTTGGAAAAGGATGTTCGTGACAGAAATGCACTCAACAAGTCAGGACGTATCCTCGCTGAAATCCTAGAGGGGAACAACGGAAATGTTTCCAGTGTAAGTATCTCATTATTATGTGTATAATACTGTTTATGATTTCCAATCTTGTACAAAAACAGGCAATTTATTAACAAACACATTTAAATTATCAGACGCTAAACTGACTCCTTAAAAAAGTATAGACCACTCATTTACATGTTTCATGCATCTGTTGGAACATAGAGGCGTTCATAGTAAAATATTCATGTGGGCTCAAATTCCCATGCTAATCTGTGATTTACCGTTGTTCGAGCTATTTGACTATAACGTTTTTTTTCACTAGCTTGACATAATTCTTTGGGTTGTCATAGAAACATTCCTAGATGATCGTAAGTATTCCGAGAATACTGATAAAAGCTAGAATGTAAAGCTCTAGTTTTGTTTTTATCTACGAGTGCATTTTTTTTTGTTTGTCTCGCTTTTTTCAGAGAACTAACTTAACTAGCCATTCTGCTGATCTGAAGCAAAAGGAAACTTCGTCAACAAAGACGTACGCGACTGCTAAACCCTATCAGTTACTTAACCTTTCTACTTCAATATCACCTTCTTCTTCAAAAGTGGTTAGTTAAATTGGATACGATTGAGTGAAACCTTGTTGATTACCGTCAAAATAGAAAAATTTCATTGAAGAGGATATAGTTCCGCATGTACAGATTCGTCCATCTAGTTCGTTTATGATCTTTATGCCGATATATTTTGCAAGTATTGTTGTAATATTAGCGATTAACGGAGCATACTGAGATTGCTCAAGGAGCGCATGTTGTTTAGGTTTCGAACATGGTGAAATCCTGTCGTGTGTAGCAAGGTTCCAAGAGAATGTTACCACAAATCGAGCACTGCTGTCACGTTAACGTGTCGAACGCTCCAGTGGAACATCGCAATTGTGTCCTGTCGTTTCTGCTGTTTGCTCTCTCCGGTTGACTCTTTTATACTTTAGTTGTCGGCCTTTTTGCTGAGACCCTCTGTGTCCGAAAACCATACAGCTAAAGAACAAAGGCATTTATGGCTTCTACCAACAATACCTACACTCGGTTATGTTGAAGACACAGTTAAAGGCAGTTAGCTGAATGCGTAACGGAGTCGCTAGATACGAATTCAGAAACCAGTTAACAGACCTCAATGAAATATTTACTATACAAAGCGAGCCCTTCCTACGTGGATCCCTTAACGATTACAATTTCCAAAGAGTCTATTGTAAATGACGAGTGGTTTAACATAAGATCTACTTAAGTTAATTTCTTGGCTCTCCTCCGAGCAAAGCCCCCGTTCCAGGTGACTAAGGGTGCCCTGCTTAGAATGCTTAAGGCATCTGCATGGGCCATACGTTACTTGAAGTGACTGGCGTCATCTTTCGCAAAACGGAAAGTGGAAAATGTGTCACCTGATGCACGCTTGCTACAATGTATCACAAAACTCATTAAGATCCCTTGGCGGAAGTTTTAAAAAATATATTGACAGTACAAGTAACACGTTCTATCAAGATGATGTTTTTCAAACATTATTTTTGGTTAAAGTCGACAGAGAGTAATCGGCCAATCTTCAACCATGATTAACTTGTTTCTCAATCATATGCTTGTGATCATCGATGGCCGTTCCATCATCGAAACAGGCACGCCGCGCTTGTTGATTAGTATGCCAAAACAAAACTACGTTTTGCTTATCCAATTTGAAATCTACTTTTTATTTGTTACCTATAGCCTGTTAATTGACCCGTGTTATATGCACAATGAACCGTGTGATCAAAAATCAATTTGAGTCTCTCCAGTCTGCGCGATAATCTTAGATCGTCGGGGTTTCTGTTGTCGAAGTAAGTAACAAAAAAAAGCCTTTTTCAGCATTAGAAAAAGTCTAGTGGAACGCAATTAAATGTGTATATGTACGTTAACAAACACCTTACCAATTATTTCCATTAACTATACGTTTTACTTGACATTTTAGGATTTTCCTATATCTAGAATGTCACCACCAGAAGATGCTGCAGCGTTGGTGAGAGCGTCATCCACTAAGTGGTACACGCGTCTCTATCAAAGTTTATCAGCTCTGAGAAATGGCCAAAGTGGGAACAGCAACATGTCTTCTATTTCTCTTCCGTCTACCGGCAGGCGCATTTACAACTGTCTCTTCGGAGCGCCGTCAGCGCAGGCTGCTACCGTTCACAGCAGTAACCTGACATGAAGTTAGTGCTGCAAAAATGGCTGTATTTTAAATAAATTTCAGCCAAACATGTAACGTAAGGTGCACTGCATTACTTTGAAGAACGCCATTTCTATTGCCTATGATGTGATGTGTTGTTTTTTGTTGCCCACCGCCAATGGCTGAGGTAACGGACTGGCATTCCCAAGACCGCACAACAAAATGCGGCTGATCTTCTGAACGTCCCCTAGATTAGCAGTCGTAAGAGCCGCAGATACATTATGTGATAGACCTCTCTATCTTTGACGCACGAAGCATGGCAACAAACAAATGCTTTCAGTTCAAGTGTAGAAAAAGCCGAATTTATTCCCACAAGTACAGTAAGCCGTCGCGTATGCGGACCTTCAGATTGACGTTTTGCACATACGGCGGCGTAAAGCTGTGAAGATGTTCTTCTTCTTCATAAGGATTATGACAACGGGGTAGGCTGAAAGCCAAATGCCGAAGAGAGCTTAATACAAATGCAGGAGATGGATCAGTAATCTTTAGGATTGCTGCTTGATAGTTAGCTCTTCACCGAATTTCACGCTTTATTTTTCGAACTATTAAAAGCCTCTTATTTAATTCTAACGCTTAAAGGCAGTATCACAGTCGGCATGAAGAAGCATTGTCACAATATTGAAAAATCTTATTTTGACCAGTACGCTATAGATGAGATTTTTCGTATAGTAACATACTGTTAGATATGGTTCGAATTAGTAAAATCCTAACGTTTATCATTTGTCTAATAGATACAGATCAGTCGTGTCAATGCTTATTCGATTTTATCATCGCACGTTTGAAACAAAGCAAATGACTTCACTGTTCCGGAAACTTGGCTGAACAGCATGTTCCTCATTAGATAGGTCTGCCAAGTTACTTTTTAACTTAAGCGATAATTCTAGTTACAGCCTTGTACATACTAGTTTTGTTTAGCGAGATTCATCTTGAGATCACTTGTATGCCGATCTAAGAATAACCGCTTAGAGCAGTACTATCCAAGCCAATTAAGAAAGATCATTTAATGCCAGTGAATCTACTCCATATAATTCATTTATTCGTATATATTTAGTATGCCTGCATATATCGTACTAGTCTGAGAAATGACCAAATCGATCGTGTGTCAATAGTTTTAAATGGATGCGATTTTTGCATTACGCACTCAAGATTCAATACTAGAAGTTGGTTAGCTTTCGTTCTCTTGCTTACACGTGTCTGTTTAGATATAAGTATGTTCCAGTCAAAACTTCTAATCGAAGTTGGCTCTTTGGATTCTTTCTTGAATTCAGATCGACTCAGCGCAAACAGACCAATTCGTATGATTTCCCTTTTTGAATGTTCTCTTTATTCTCTTCGTATGGATTACAATAAGACGATTGCCGCTTATGGCAACCTCTATATGCAATCAGATTGTTACCGTTGGGCTAAATCTTCCTTTACGTCATTTTTACGTAACCCTATGATTTTTTATATTTTAAGTGTAGCCTGCCTAAACGGCAATAAATAATAGAAGCTAATATATATATATATATATATACTTGTGTATTTATGCGCAGATAGTTGTTCTGTATAGGCATGTAATATTGTTGCTACAGTTTGTTACGTTTTATTGCGCCCTTTTCTCAGTATTATACTTTAGTACTTCGGTTGATATGGTTTACTTTAGTTACTGTTATTTTTTAATTGCCGTTTCAATTAACAAGCTAATTACCTAGAATATCAAGTGGTCGTATGCATATCTTTGGGCTCATCTTGTATATTGTACCATTAATTACCATTCGAATTTGAAGCGGACCACTGTTTTTATTATACGTATGTAAAACTTGGCACCTTGCGCGGTTGTTAGTACTGTTAACATCAGTGTTGTTTTTACGATAGATGCGTATGTAAGCGTATGCTTTTGCACCGAACAACTGCGGTTTACAATCAAGATTATGGCCTACAGCCATCTGACGGCTACTTGATTGCTAGTGGTAGTCTACGATTCCTTGCCCAGGAAAAGCTCTATGGAAAAACTCTCAATATTGTCCACACGCCAAACGCTGCAAACTATGCCGGCCTTTTTTGGGCTTGTTGTATATTAGATTCATGAAGATGTTCTACATAGATGTATAAAATGTATGAGACGGGTGCATTGTGTATTCAATCAATGTTCATTACTGTATGATACTGAAAGCGGAGTACGAAGCGCTAATGATGAACGTTACCTTGTAAATTATGACGCTGATAATAAAGAAAACGTCTATCAACGACCGACAGAAATGCAATTGTCATCCTTTAAATTACGACAACGTAACGCAACTTCGAAGTATATTACTTGCATAAATACTCAAGCCGCTTTGGCGGTAGACTGGGCGAAATCCCGCACAGCCCTAGTCGTAGTTGTCTTGTTTGTACTGCTTTTCTAAGTCTTACTTTTAACACTGGTTCGCTTTCAATTATTCGTTGTTCTGGTTATTACAATTGTTGTTATTATCATCATCATCATGACGAACATCGTGACGAAGTTGAACTAGTTCAAGCGGATCAGTGCAGTGCTTGGGTCTATTTGCGGGTTTTAGGTGGCACGACTGGTCGTATTGCCACTGCCATATCTTGTTTCATAACGTTCGCTGGACGGTGGCAAATAATTTACATTCGGTCAACCCAGTCGCGCATCTCACCAATGTCCCTCAGTCCCTGTGCCGTCGGTTCGATAGGTTTGACACAACTGTGGGGTAACCGATGGGCGCCTACTACTTTCGTCGGTTGACTGACAAAGAAATACTTAACAGCTTTTATCTAAATGAAATGCGATTGATAATATTTTATAATAATAAGAATTGTCGAAATGAGATCAATTAGGCACAAATAAATACCCAGCTTCATCAACCATATTTACATATTCGCTACTAGTACAAAATACCACCTACCCCATGGACTGTCTTTGCGTACCAGTGATTAGTTAACAATACAATTGGTAAGCTTTTACTGATAAACCTCGTTAGATGTTGCCTGAAAATAGCTGAACTTTACATGCCATTTACCTATTGGACTATATTTTTCAGCTACCCCATTTCGTCTGAAGCAACGGGTACCAGGCGTCAATATTTAGGTGGACAGGTACCTAATATACGATAACTTCCGATACACACTATTACCAACTATTGAAACCACTTCGAGAGGCGGCGTTGACTACGGCATCCTATCGAACTAAGAAAATACTGCCGCTTATAATTCACTAGTCCGTCGCTTACGTTGACCGGTACAGAACAACAGAATATGCTGGAGCAGAAAGAACCATAGAACGCCGTATTTCAAGCACGCAAAGTGAACGAACGTCTGCTGAAGCAAGTTATCCTTGTTACATCTTTTACAGATTCCTCATACACATACAATGGAACGAACAGAGATATACTATGTACGTAAATAGAAAGTGCTTTATCAGCATTAGAGTAAGCTCTCGGTAATATTTTTGCACTCCAAATTAACGGAACTCTTTTCTCTACTTCCTTCCACTAACTACGTATAGTCCAGCTGTGTACTTCTGCTAACAATAATAATTATACTTACTGTATAGCTGCTCGTGCTAATAGTTGTAGGACAATTCACAGCAGGTACGTACGCCAGTGTTCGGTATTCTTGACGACATCGTCGTTATATTGGATTGACAGAAACGGTTCCACCTTCCAATATGGCTATTTAACACGTGCAGTTTGATTCAGTGGGATCATGCTCGTAAAAATAGTCGATCCTATTTTCATATGCATTGGTAATATATAATTAATTTGGTAATAAAGCAACGATAATCGGCTTTTTGTTTACGAGCATCTCGTCAGCTAAACTGATAGTATGCATAACACGGAATTAGCCCTCCATTCAATCCGTCCTTCACTAACTAGTTAATCCTGCATGGTGAATTCGATGAAGTTCAACAGTAGTTTTGTACACGTAGAGCAGTGGCTACAGCATAAGACCTAACGAATATATATCTTATCGTCTACAGATTCAAAAAAGTGATGTACACACTAACCGATCAGAGGTTCTCCTATTCTTCGGACGACGATGACTGCACATTTAGTTGCAGGAATACAAATTACAGTGGGCAAGGTGCCTTCTACCCTGTCAACCCGTTTATGCAAACTTGTAGACGCCGACAGGTGTATCCATTAGCGTTCAACAGGCATTCAATACGTTTTGGCCGCAGTCATTTCAAGCCGTTGGCTCATTATGGTACTCTGAGTGCGGGCAGCTCACGCAAAAGGGAAAAGACACCCTGGTCAAATTACTACCAGTACAAGCTCAGAGAGCCTACCGAAGAGGAGAAAGTATTAGGGCAAGCATGGACAAGATGGCGACGCGACAGCGAAGCGAAGGCTGCCGCACAGGGTCGACTGCAGAACTACGCGACTAGAGGTGCGTTCAGAGAAAATCTTAAGTCCAGTGAATTTCAGCCCATCGAAGGTGCCTCTGATACGAAGCGGTCTTCCACGGATCGATGTGAATCGAGTCGAACACGTACGACCGTTAGCAGTAATTCAGAGCCGAAAAAAGATACCTTTGATAAGCATGTCGTGGAAATTATGGGGCTTATGGAGTGACTTCGCACGACATTTATGGCGACATCAACCTATCTTGTATTTTGCTTTCTCAAAAGATAACACAAAATACTTCTAAGTTGTGCCATTTTTTCTCAGTGTCGTAACTTGTTATTTGAAAGGCGGTGTTCAGCTTCCTTGGATTTCTTGCATACGTAATGACCTCTAATACAGTCCGTCGAAACTGAAGTGTCTGGAGGGAACAGTTATAGAAACAACAACACTTTGAGTAGTGTTCGTACAAATCGCTAGTGAATCTCGAAGTATGTAACTGTTTTTGGCAAAATGATTAAGAATGGCCACTTGGTAGTATAACTGATCCAAAAATGACTAAGTGGTGAAAACGTTTTTCTTTGACCTACCCTAAGTCACAGTTTCCGGTTCTCGAGTATCTTAAGACTTGAACCACGACTCTTCAGTTTTGGCAGTGTTAGCATTAACTGTAGCATCTTACCTCATTTAAGAAACATCGCTCGCTTTTGCCAACAGGTCAAGTGCCTCAAGTAATGTCCATCATTTTTCGTGCACGTTTCATATCCTTTACATAATTTAGGCCTGCACCTTTGGTGCGATTCAGGTTACACTTCCGCCTCCGCGGTTTTTTTCGATTCTAGGACCGCACATTAACAGCTTTGAAACTTGTATGCGGATTCGTTAGAGTAGATATTCATTCATTAGATCTCTATGAAACATCTTCACATATCTAGATACCACCATGTGGTATCTAGATTCGAATACGCGACTCACGCAGAATTGCCCTTGATATTAGGCTCGCTACAAAACAGCCATCGGCGGATATAATAAGATATTATATCCGCTGGTGATATATTATAAGAACATGCATTAGGCGTTAGGTAAAAACGACACTCAGTGTTTGTCGAACACATATATAATGTATTTATGATTTTCTAGGAAACGGCATAGTAATGGTCTGGATCTTAAACTAGACATATTTTATCGTGCAGGTCTTTTACGACATATAAAAGTTGAACCGTTTTTACTCAACAGGTTAAATTCAAAAGTTTAATACGAATAAAAAGAATCTAATTTAGACAGAATTTTCAAGCTGACGTAAGTTGTGTATGTACACCCGTCACCTGCAATAGGGTTTGGTATGCACCCATTGATCCTAAGGGCCCTGTTTCGCGGTAGATACATTTTACTACCGCTGAATGAAAAATTGGAATTAGCAAATTAAAGTCCTATATCGATTACCTGGTCGCAGGCGTTTGACTTCGCCCCAGTAGTGAATATGTTTATTCCTTAATTGGCTACGTGGAGTCGAGACTAATTAGTGCCAGCTGATCACAGCCTCAAAATTTTTTTAAAAAAACAAACACTGTTGATCTTAGTTTCATCTGTAAATCTGATATGTTACTACAAGTACGTATTTTTAAAAACAGGCACTAGTGCTCTACGCTATATCTTGTTACACGCACCAATGAAATTAAGGATTATATAAAACATAATTATCTGCCTGTTTCAAAACCTTTATCTATATAGTAATGGTTGCCGTGATCATTCCGTAAGATATACACAATTTTTGTGTCTAAAAGCCAGGGTAGGCTATTACTCTAGAGGCTAGCAGACAAACAACAGCGATCAGTGAACAAGTATTGTCTGATTTATTTTCTAACGCGCAGCTTTTTATCTTCAAGGACTTACGTCCAGGGCAGTCTAACAATGCAGAACCAACTCGAATCTCCCCCTATGTATGGCCCCGAGATAGTTTACAATAGTTGCTGCTCCTCATTATTACCTGAATGTTATGGTGAGTCCATACACTATGAGTTTACCCCACAGGTCAGCATTAAAATGTCTAACACCTTTTTTATTGAAGTGATTTTGATGCCCAATCTCAATAGCTTCGCTTCTTACTGCTTTCACTACGATGTAACAAGATAGGTGAGGGAAGCACGCAGCTTCCCAAGAATCGGTAATCTTTCGCCGTTTGGGATACAAGATGCTGTGTGAATCCGAGTTCTTTCTGAAGGAGAAAGCAGGAAACGATTGCGATGCTGATAACCTCACAGCAAGAGACTTCGTCTTCCAACGTCATTCGTTGCCAATAAAAATGAGAAGTGAATTGACAAATTTTTGCTGAAAGTAACATGAATAAACTTCTAATTGCACATGGTATCATCATTTAACGTGATGCATGCGTTCATACGTTTCGATAGTTCAATTTTAAATAGATGAGCTGTTTTGTGGCTGCCTGTATGCAGCAACCAAACTTATCTCAACAACGGACCATTAGAGTACAAACACGACAATTTGTTGGACGAACTGGCAACTGGCCATCATTGAAGTCACTAGTTGTAGTTTACCTCCAATTACTTTTCATACTAAATGTAGACTTCTCTCAGCAAACTCACGCATACGAGTACCTGACTTGCAATTAGCTGATTCGAGATAGCGATTTCATGTGCTGGCTACTGCCGCTGCCGGAATCTAACGGCTGACGTCATTCTAGTTGTTGGATTGCTGGGTGCCTTAAGACAGGTTTTTACACGGGCTTAAATATATGGGTATTACCTTCCAGATACAAGCTATGTGGAAACCTTTCTTTATATGACACATATTTTGTAGGTTAATTCTCATGGAGAGGTTTAAGAAACGAATGCTTGCTTTCCCAGAGGCGGTCCTAGCCGTGTAAGCAATCATCGAAGGCCAAGTGTGCCTGTTTTTTTTTTCTTAAATCATAACGCTGTTAGACGTTTGTTTAAATGTCAGTTTCTGCGTCGACTGACGCGTGCACAAAACGGGTTTATGATGTACACCAACATTACAGAAATGACCATGTCCCGCTTTGTCACATCTGTGTCGCATACCCGTTAACTGGGGCTATTATATGGGATTTAAAATAGCCATAACTACCCAGCTGGCTATGATTATTCGTACAGTACTTGTAGTAAACATGAGAAGAATGAGCATGACGTATACATACGGCTTCAACCTGTTTTTGGCCTTGAGCCAGCTAATGCATCTCTAAATCCATCACTTCATATCAAGGTCTGAGTGAGAAAAGAATACAATATAAGCTAGCCGTCGGTCTGCTAGTGTATTTGAACGTTTGTCCACGAAAAAGGCATTGCTATTTGGTCATGGTCACACGCTATTAACCCTACCGAGAGCGAAAGCCGTTCAGTCCATGAACTATACGAAGTCATCTCTTTTGCCTATTCCAGCCTGACTTGTTTTTGTCAGGGTTTTTCATGTCGCTGCTAACAGTGTTTGCATCGCAAAAATTATAGTCACTCCTATTGACATTAGTGAGAATTGTTCAAGCGGCGTTCCCTATAGTGTGTGTTGAATTTATAGCCGGATTGACCTTCCGAAGCTCCCCGTCGCGCTGTCAGTTAGTTGTCTGTGTAACATAATGGTATTATATAATTAAGAAACGCACGTTACGCTGGCCGTTGTTGTAGATACAAAGGTTTGGGGCTTGTTTATTATTTTTGTTGTTGCTGTCATCATGTGGCTGTCAAAAATTAAGGATGTAAAAAGCCGGCGATAAGGGCTCTCAAGGGGTCAGGATGTCTGACACCGCGACCGCTGTCCCGCTTCTGGACGTCATTGACGGTTGTCAGAAAGCGACAGAAAAGGCCGCTATCGGTCGTTATTTTTTGAGCAGATGCCTGACTTAGCCCGTATGAGCATCGTCGTGGAGGATCGATGCATTGGTAAATACGTCGTTTATACATCAAACGCACTACGATTAAAACTGTATGCTTAAACCAGTGTAGGATCTGTCACGTGATAATCCCACCTAGTTTTTGGGGCACCTATAAACCTAAAGAGCTCCGAGTTCAATTTATAGCCAGCAAACGCTAGACCACAGCGCACGCCGAGCTTGACAGCATTTAAACAGCAGGAGATCATATTCCTCATTCCGTTGGGCATTTTGATTTTACTTATATACAAACTATTTCCGACAGATGTCGAAATTTAGAGTGAGCGAGGCGAGATGAAATCAGCAATCACCTGCTAGAGCAAAAAAATTCGTTGGCTTAGCTTCAAGGCGATTCATTGAATGAGCAGTAAACAGCCCAACCCAGAATCCGGTGCTTATCTACATATAGCACTGTTCGCTTGTTACACTGGATCTTTAGCAAACGTTTTTTGTTTCATAAGCTCAATCATCCGGGATGGAACATCGAATATATGAAGAAGCAGACTCTCTGACTAACCGCTCTATTCCTCATAAAAGAGAAAAAAAAGTTTGCAAGGTGCATGAAGTAACCGATCTATCAACGTATACGCATATACACTCTCTCGCATACTATGCGTGCAAATCAGATCACAAGTTGCTATATTTCTGTAATAAGTACAAACGTTGATTATACCTTACATTGTTTTCTTTTGCTTTGAACTAGTAAGGCGACTTCACTTATACAAAACTGTTAAGCCATATGCTTATTGAAGTGCAATAACCAAATCGGTGAAGCCCATCGACTAAGGTGTAATAATTCTTCGTGGCGACTTGAAAAAATAGTTAGCCCGCAACGCTCATGCCCCAGACAAATAAATACTGTAAATTGCAAATTTTTATAGAGAAACACACTCACTTACAAAGGCACAACGATCCGCGAATACATACTTTTATTTTTCCACCAGTTTCGTAAAACTATTTGACCTCGGCCAGATCGCGTGTCAGTGACAATAGCAAAGATACCATCATCATCATCAACCGCTTAAATAAACAAAAAAACAGCGTTATGCTTCAAGGTTGTTTGGGCGTTTACAAAAAGCGTCTCAACAATTTTACTGTCTGTCTATTTGTCGTCTGCCTCTTACTTTTGCTACGTATCTACGGCGTAGTGCAATTTGGGCCGCTGTTTTAAACCTGTACAACTTCGCAACAAAATCCCGCCAGTCGGTGCGGCATAACTGGCCATAGTCCATTTATCGCTATCTTTTCCACTATTTCGGACAAGAGTAAAGTACTGCTGTCTCGATCGTTCATTTTTTTTATCAGGGCCATGATGTTCCGGCCTACCAACCACCCCCTCCCCCTCCTCCCCCCAACCCCGCCGTTTGGTCGTGCTATCCGAATAACGATAATTCGGAATATTATACTATCAACTACCGGAACAGTGCTTTTTAAAAAATAATTTTTTAAAGATATATGTGTACACATACAGAATATGCCGTTCTACCTTAAGGGGCTTAACTATGTCTTATATATAAAGGTACATAGAACTGGATCTAGAGGTCAGAGGTGCCAAAACATCGTCAACATATGCTATATTGTATAACTACTCTGCTTCTCTTGTTTGCGCCTGTAGAAGTTTTTCATAGAAAATGAAAAGATTATTGAAGAATAATATTTTGTAATCGCGATTGATCTAACCAATGATCTTTCATCAGACAACTATGTTCATTAAAGGTCATACGCTTTGAGTGCGTATAGAGATAGTTTAAGTAAGCGCTTAGCAATTGAGAAAGCCGGGACGAGGGCGGACGATTAGCACTAGAATTTATTAATACGATACATGGGGTTTTGAAATCTAAAAAGCTAAGAGCATTTGAAGTAGCAAAATCTGGCCGACCAAAAAGCCAATTTGTGTTTGAACGTTTGCGTTATATTTGGCTGGGAGAAAAAATGTGTAGAATAGATTAATAATGACCGCTGATTAAGCCATCAATGAATTTTTTTTTATCGTTTAAATAGTTCAAAGTTGGCTAAAACAAACCCGACAAATTCCGTATAGCTATGGAAGCAACAGGTGCTTGCCGTGGGATTCGCTTCAAGCTCCACATTAGCCATCATTGCATGCGTCTTTTCTTCGCGTCTACAGCATTGATTCTAATTTAAGCATCTATACAGGTAGCAATCCAAATCATTCGTATAAACAAAATTAATGGCTGATCCGCCAAAACGTTTGCACTATCGATTGTATTGTATATAAAACTATCATTCGCCGAGTGAAGGATGGAGTACTTCTGTTTTGCCTCTGGCTTTCTTTTGCAGGAAGCAATTGCCGTGCCAATTGTTATATAAATGTAAAGGTTACATTGTAGAATCGACTAAGTAAGTGACTAAAATGACAGCTTGCTATAAATAAAAAGAGCTTATCACCGTCAGTTTTAGTGGTGAGTATTTATATGAGGAGACGACAGAAATGTCCAGTACCAGCAGCATACACATTGAAATATGTTGAAAAAAAACACAATTTTCAAGGCGACCTCTTCATTGACTTGTCGTTGCTCTGTAATCTTTATAGGTAACTGACTGCCGTTAATAAACACGCGCTGCATTTATAACTTTACCGCATAAATGCAAATAAATTCAAGGCACGTTGGTTTGGCTACCTAGGAGTATAAAAAATTTAATTATGAAGTTTTTTGAGTATTATCTGCGCAAAAAACTCCTATATCCTCATTCTGTGAGCTTCCTTTCCATTATGCAGTTAATCTGAGATCGCATAAGGGTAACATAAAAGTAGTAAATAGACCAGGCGTTTCGGTTTTATTCGTGGACCATACGACAATCAATTGGTAAGCAAAAAGCGACAATTGGCGAGAAAAACTTCTACGACAAAACCTCATACGACCTGTAACAAAAAAGATACCGCATTTTTATTTTCAGCGGGTTAACGTTTATGCAGTCTAGCAGGGCTGAATAGTATGTCGCTTGCAATTAAACATTCCGTTGCAACTGAACTCAAACTTTAGCCTAAATGAAAAGACGTACTTCGAATTTAGATGTGCCTTCTCAACGAAACCGCAATCTACCGTTATCGTAAAATCTTCGAAAATAGTTATTCTTCAGTTACACTTTGCAGGAATCGTTTTCATTTGAAACATTCAAAATTCCGCTTGTCAGGATTTTATTTTTAGAAAGATACGCATTATCTTTGCATCGATGCACGTTCGAAACACAAATTTCTAACTTTCTAATAACTATTGGGGTCAGGTTCTTGCAGTCCAGTATACGTTCTAGCTGATGTGGCAGGGTACTGATGTACAAAGCTGCGTTCTCATTGCGTAACATTTTCGAACATGTTTTTATCGATTGTTTCCAGCATCGCTTATGGAATTTTTCTATGTATTTGACTAAAGCTGTGCATTTTATATTTAGCCCAACACGGTTGAAGCACCCGTTTAATACTTACTTTGCACAGACCCCACAAAAGTTATCCTATACTTTACGTTGTACATGACTATCAACATTAAAACGTAGTAATTACTTAACACGATTTGCTTGATCCACCGTTATCTTTTTCATGCTGCCGCCAATTCCGTCTGCTCCATCCTGCAGATGTTTGTAAACAGCATAAAACAGAACAAGCACTCTTGCTGGCATACGCTGATTGGCCGGTTGTCGGTACCATGGTAGGCGCAGCGGTCGCTCGAAGCGGTAGTTAGGCTCCGTGGTAGACGGAAAAAAAAAGAAGGGTCGACAAGTCAGTACAGTGAAGCGACTCTAGTCGCGTAAATGTGCTCTTGTGGTTTCGAACCAGCCGTCTAACATTTCTGTCTCGCTTGCCTTATGCATACATGTAGAGAGCGCTATAAATCCGTTACAGGCGTGTAACTATAATCATACTGGGTGTTTAGCATAGAGCGGCGTAACTTGCTAATAACATCCCATATCCAGTGCTGACAAGATCTTCTATAGACGAGTAACACGTATAGTATATAAGTGGTTATTTGGTGTACTGACTTTAGTTTTGTATGTGTGCGTGCGTGGATGTGCTGCTCTCACAAATAATTACTCTCGTTGTTCGTTTGATCTGTGATATTATCTCATCAAATTCAAGTAGACAAACACCTGATCTCAATCGAGTCGTGATGATGTAGAAACAAAAAGCCACTAGAATACTACTGGTGCGTTCGCCTTACGTTCGATTGCCATCAATCGAACACGACACCTCACGATGAGTTCTGCGATATTTATCTGGAAATCATCTGGTCCCCGCCAGAGTACAGTTCGGAATGTTTTTTCCTGTTTACTACTTACGTCTCTAGCTTATGCGGTACTTGGCAAGGTTTGTATATAGATTTACATAATTCGTAACAAAAAAAGAACTAATGCTAACCATGTTAAAAGCTAATTTGCACATCGTCTGAACCCTAGCTAGTAAACTGACGGGTTTCGGTTTTCGCTATATCTAATCCTGAATGCTCCTATAAATTTGGTTTCAATGCATATTGTCATTTCCGTAAAGTTTGTCTGCATGAATTTGCTTTTTATTTCAGCTCTGCTTTTCTGGTAAGCAGAGGTATAGAAATACATTCGCCTATATAAAGAAAATCGTTTCGTGCGTTGTACCTTCTACTACTTCAGAATCTCCTTTTTTTCATTTTCGTCGCCAATATCTATCTGTGATGCTGCAAAGTACACGTATACGTTCTAATGGCATGAAATGCAAATGCTTTTTTATACTCTTACTGAAATATCATCCAAATGTCCACACATAAACTATCTATATCGTACATGCAATTTTTACACCGCTCCATTACGATGCTTTTTTGATGCACCTGCTGTGGCGCTGAAATGTTATGAACAACTACTGTGGAAATAACAATAACATACATTCAGTAAACATTTTGAGTCGAACAAAACACGCTTGACATAATTTGTGCTTGTACGTCCCTAGGGAGTTGCGTTTGAAAACGATGAAATCGGTTCAGTTACTATAGTTGCTAAATACTGAGCTCGACTGTATCCAGATGGGCACGGTGGACTAAGATTCAGTGTTAAAGTTTATTTAAGTTTATGATATATTAAAAAAAAAAAAAAAAAGACTAAACCCCTTTAAAGAATATTAAAAAAATGAAGCTTGGCTAAACAAATTAAATTAGTATTTTCGGTTTTGCTTCTACTCTGTCAGACATATGTTCGAGCTTTATGTAAGCATTCATTAATTTTCTTTCAATGTATGCGATCGGCTTACATAGACGCCTTATTATTAAAGGAATCGATCGATCTCACAAAGCCCACAAGACGACACGTTTCTACCATTGAAGGTGCAATTGCTGTGTGAAAATAGAGCATTACCCAAAGCGATTGAAATATGACAGGTTGCACATTTCGTTACCCTTTTCTTGCGTACACTATTGAAATAGATTCGGAACGAGTTCGAGCTCTTCATTCGTCCTATGCTTGTATCAATGCTCATTCGTAACATTGTCGATATTTCAGTTAAATCAAAAACCACTCACAGTATCGCTGGATGCTCGTTGGAACCACACACCTCTCCACCTGGAAGCCGCAGAATTTTTTGCAGAAGATGGTGCAGATTCATTTTGGAAATTTGTTACCGATCTGCAGACTCTTGACCTGGAAAGCTTTATCAAAGGTACGCTGTTATTATTTAGAGGAAATAATAGTTACGAACCGATATAAACTGATATAAAATGGTGCAAATGCGGATCGCATATATTAAACTGAGTATTCAACCTGTGTGGTAATGTCACAGATTAGAAAGATAAGACATACTTTTTTTAAATATACGATCAACCGCCAAAATGTACGGCACAGTTGCCGTCACGGTGGAGTTTGATTAACTAACGAAAAAGCAAATCCATGCAGCCATTATACGTGGGATATCTTTGGAATAAAAAGCGGCAGACAGATACGTCTGGACGGCAGATAAGGTTGTATAATGTACTCGTGTCAGTCTCAGAGATTAAGGGGGTACAAATTTAGATGTTTTCTGGAAAATACGGGATTATTCATTAATGGCGTAACGAAATACTCATTAAGCAGAAGAAGGGCGAAATAGGAAAGAAGCCAACAACACACCACGACAGCATCAACACATCTGACGACCAATAAAAATGTGTTTGGTTGCCTTTGGATTTCAGCTTCCGAAAAACTTCAGTACGAGTCCATAGTGGAGTTGGCTTCCCGACAACTTAGCGAGGGTAGACTTGCACTATTTAAGTTGTCGCTCGCCTTAAGAGCGCATTCACCGGCTGTCGAAACCTTCCAACAGGTGAATACACACCTGATGGTTTAACTCATTTTTGCATTATCAATTGTAGACAGTGCAACTTTCTACAGAAAGGATAGGTATTGTTATATGCTTCTAAAGTTTACAAGTTTTTCCCTTTTGTCTTATTATACATAAATGATTTTTGCAGATTGCGCGTGACAAGAAGCTTCCTGACTGTGAATTTGTGCTCGAGTTTCCCGGTAACGAGTTCACATGTTCTCTTGATGAAATTGATCGATTCATCGATAAAAAGTCAGTAATAATCCGTGATTATAGTTTTGCTTAGTTATTTAAGATGAAAGTTGATATTTGCTGCGTTATTTTGGGATACTGACAGCATATTAATTACTGCATGTGTTAACTATTGTATCGGCACAGGTCGATGTTCGTTAGGATGCTAGCCATGTATTGATAAGTAAATAGATAAATTAACAGTACAATATATTTATAAGAAGTTCTTACACGATTAACATTTGAGTATTTTTATATTGAATATAAATAGTTAACTTTGGTATTATCTCATTGCTAATTTCTATAACTATGGACGTATTTTTGCCAAAATGTCTTTATTTCAGAATCGAGGGAAAAGTTGATATTTACGGTGTTGACCATGAATTTGGGGCTTTATCGAATGGTATGCCAGTTGTCCTTTACGGTGATATGGTATCAACTGGCTTTCAGAAGTAAGTCTTTTTTCAACTTATCAACTTCACCATCAATCATATTTTACTACTTTAAAAATGGAAAATTTCTGATAACGTTGTTATTCAAAAGTGCTTAATTAACAGCTTTTTACTGGCCGTTCTTTAGATATCATAACGCCCTATTGAAGCGGTATAGTCAACGAAAAATTCGATATATTCTTCGTCACTATGTCCATGTAAGTTGAAAATTGAGATATGTAACGAAAAATTATGTTGGCTGATTTGTGCATGGAAATAGGTCGTTTATGCTAGAACATGCTAGGCTTCTATGTTACGATATGGAGGATAATATTTGAACTAATTATGATTTAGATCATTTGGAGGCCTTTGCGAAGAGCCCGTATACGCAAATTATAATCTCTGTGACGTTTTTATTTTAAGCTTATAGGCAACTGAGTGGTGCATTTTTGTGTATGAATCTAACTTTAATTTAAATATAGCTAAATATATATATATATATATATATATATATTATGAATCTGAATATATAATCTAAATAAAAAATAATTATCTAAATATGTAATTTGAATATAAAATATTGTGGATAAAATGTGTGGATCGAAACATCTAAGCGAGACGTGTTAATTAAACGCGTTTCGAATATGGAACGTTAAGTGCAGTGAAAAAAGTTGTAGGACATGTATTGACTACTGTGAGCAGAATTTATGTCTTGGATTAATGCTTGTTTATCGTACAGAAACCAGTTCGGCGACAAGTTCGCCTCAGCGGCTACGGGGTGGAAATGGCTCTCAAATCAATGGAGTACAAATCCCAGGACGACACAAACTATAAAGAGAAGGAGGTGGCAGAGGACGAAACTGTCGAGACTTCGGAGGGCCATAACGACGATAGGGACATTATCCATATAATGGTATACGATTACGAATTTTTTTGTAAAATATGTCCTTTTCAAACGCGTCTATATTTTTTTTTACCAGGATCTATATACCAGGATTTATGAATATAATATTACAGGACCTTAGTGGTAGACCAAAAAATCTATAGCATGTGTGATCAACTTTAGGAAATTATAGGATGGATATGCGTATGAAAAGATAAATTAGAGTAAGTAATTATAAGCCTGTCGTAATTACAAGTATTACGGTATTATAAATATTACTTACAATGATTTCGATTCATTTTTTTACTCAAGGACGCGGAACTGACAAACCTAAAAGAGAGCGAAGTGGAAGAATTGAGTCTTCAGCTCGCTGCAAAAATTCTCAAGGTTCCGCCCGAGCGACAGCTAAAAATGTTTCGAGACCTCGCACACAACTTCCCCTCAATTGCACGGTAAGCTGAAAGATACAGTCTAAACTGTGTCTCAAGGTAATATTGCTGTAACACGGAGACAGATATTTTGAAAATGCAGTATTTTTGACTTGTGGGCTTATATTCTGTTGCTAATACAATACAGTAAATATTAATAAAGGTACGATGTATCAGTATTAAAGTGATAGAAGAACGCAACGGTGATAAAGAGTTTAGAAAGTCAACTTCTCTTTTCATAAAAAAATATAATTTATATGAAGAGTTTAAATTAGGGATCCTTGTTATTTGGCATATACTTTACAGTTCTTTGACGAGCCAGAAGATAGACCCAGATCTGAAGAGCGCTGTTGAACGTAACAAGAAGTATTTTCAGGCCTACCTCAATCTCGAAACTACCGATACGGCTCTATTTATCAATGGATTGTATTATGACTTAGAGGTTAGACTATTCTCATAAAAAAAGAATCAACTTTATTATAAGTGAAATAAGAGAGACTATTGCTAATACAGCGAACTGATCAGGAATTTTTCGAGTTAGTGTCATTTTCCAAGTTCTTTCTGATATTTCGGTATTTACTATATATATATATATATATATATATATATATATATATATATATATATATATTCTGTTCGGCATTGACAGAAGTAGTACAAAAACATGCTATGGGTGAAAGGCGTTTTTTAAATCCTGGTAAAAATAAATTAGTTTACTGATAAGCTTTAGAAATTGATTTTTAACTACCAAATCTCACTTTTCATTAATTATTAATTAAATAGGTATGCTGTGAGGTTCTTTTTAATAAATTTCTAACCTCCTTCGTTGAAATCTTTTTGTAAGAATAAGTCAAATAATACTTATGGAGCAATAGTAATAAAACAGACGGGTTAAATTTAATCGCCGTTTGAACGTGACCTTGTTAGGTGAGCGATATGTTTGTTCTATTGGATTCAATTAAACAAGAAACGCATCTATTAGAGGATTTAAGGGATGTTGGAGTCGAAACAGAGGCGATCCCGAAACTTATGAAGCTTGATTTGAATATCAAGTAAGTGTTCATTATAGAAAATCGGTGAGATCTTTTTGACATTTTTTTAAAAATAAATACTATTTTTTTTGTTTTTTTTATTTTCTTAAATTCTTAAAATTTGTAAAAAAGAAATATCTGTAAAAAATAGAAATAAAAATAAAATACATATATATGAATCAATCGTAGTGTTATTCACCTTTTGTATGAGTTTGAGACTGAGGTAAATACAATTATGTTAATAACTGGTGCTGCCCAACATAGGAACTCCGTGTACGGCGTAGACATTCGAGATTCCGCAGTACAGTATATCAATGACATTGAACTGGACTCAGATTATAGGAACTGGCCAAGAAGCCTACAAGAAATGCTCCGACCCACTTATCCAGGAATGCTTAGGTAAGAAGAAAAAAATGCATGTTTCTGTCTGTACCTGAAGTACGAACTTTACAAGTGTACATATTTATGGTTTCCAGTTTATAATTTCGATACTCTTGTGTCGTTAATCCATTTTGTTACTAAAACAAAGTCTAGAAATGAATGCTTATAATAATGTAATTGTTGCACCCTGCAGGTCTGTGAGACGTAATATATTTCACTTAGTGATTGTGGCCGATCCGGCTGCGCCAGAGTGCAGGGACATGTTCAAATTTGCTGAGAGTTTCTACATTCACAGGTAAGTTTTAAAGACAATAGAAGCTGGATAATTGACTAATGAGATATTAAGTGTAGTGCATTTATCTCAAAACCCACTTTAAGCTCAACAAATTGTGGTGAAGGATAACTAACACATCTGTTCCGCACATTATTTTATTATTAACTCTAGCTAAAAAAAAAAAACTGATTCTTGTCTTTCATTAGGGCCCCTCTGCGGATCGGTTTTGTCTTTGCCGTGAACCCATCTAAAGATGCAACTGGAATTTCTAATGGTGGCGTAGCGCTCTTGAATGCTTTTAATTTTATCTCTCAAGAGAAAAAACCGTTCGATGGACTCGCCTTTATCACAGAGGTTAGTAATGCAGGCGTGACTTTTCGGGACTGAGTCACGCCCTACCGAACATTATTGTTTTAGGCTACTCAGACTCATAAAGCGTTATGAAACGCACATGACATAAGTGCATAGTAAAGGTATTCAAAGGTATATTCTATTTTCAGGTGTATGCTAGTCAAAATGAAGGTTACATCGAAGCTGAAAGGGTGATATCAATGTTTAAATTAAAGTTTCCCTCTGAAGACATCGAAATGGTGTTCGGTGCCGACAGCGACTATGACACTGGACGAATGGTGAGTATCTAGTAAGGCCTTATAGGAGTTACACATTTCTCCAAAATCTTAAACACTAATGTTTAACCGATGTGAAACTGTGTAGGTCCAAAATGTGCTTTCTCAAAAACGTGATCTGTTGTTGTCGAACTTACGATCATGTAATATCTCATTATTGTGCAGTTTTTTCACGAATACGATATATCTGATGAATAATATATGCACGCATAACCAAAAAGAAGGTTAATTTAACAACCAGTGCTTTACCTTTAGCTCGCGTGGGATTTTATCAACCGGGCAGGCGTCGGCACGCCTCCACTGGCTATGCTTAATGGCATCTCACTGAAAAAGGAGAATCTCAAGGGTAAGTCAGACCGTGTAAGTCCCGGTTATAGGACATATTGCCATATGTCTTGTGAGGTACCTCGTCGCCCGGTTTTCGTTAGTTATGACGAACCAAAGATCTCAAGCTTGTGAAAACATCAACTGTAATAAAATGGTGCTTCTTTTGTAATACTAGGCGACATGTTCGAGGAAGCTGTTTTGACGGAAATTATGAAGCAAACTCCGAAAATACAACGAGCGATTTACAAAGGGGAACTGACTGATCGCGATTTTGTCATCGACTACCTTATGAGTGAGTACCTCTATTATTTATAAATCATGAATAAAAGCACCTTCATTATCATTAAAGGAGTAGGATTTACTCTTTTTTTCTCTAAGGACATGAATATGGACATGAGACGATAATGATATATACTGTAAAGTTTTATTTACCTAAAAACTTCTAGATATAAAAACACAAACATTTTTAGCTGTAGTTGATGTTTATCTACTTCCGTGTTTTGACATAGACTTCATTGTACCACTCTAATGGTTTTCGTTCCTGGTATTCATAGCTCGTGATAACATAATGCCTCGCTTGAATGAACGCGTTCTCAACCCGCCCAGCAGAGAAGACACCGTGTTTGTTGACTTTACCGGCAGAACTGTCACCGATATCAATGCTGATATGGTAAGTGTCGTATCAGTTTAAAGCGAACACTTCTCTAAATTTCTACCTGGATGATGGATTTGGATGGAACATAGTGTAGTTAGATTAATGCGCACATATAAAAGCAAGCCTCTAAAGAAGAATCAGCTTTGTGTACAGATCTTTGCTTAATGTGTGATTATAAATATATATGGCAGATGGAAAACCTCTCAGCAGCTGATCTGGGCGCCAGTTTTGCTCAGACTTTGCAGCATCTGGGTAAAGGTACTGCGTCAGTGCCTTTAACGATGTGGATTGTCGCTGACTTTGACACTAGTTCTGGGCGGAATTTACTAGGTCACGCCCTAGAACATCTTGGAAACAGTGACCACACACGGCTTGGATTTATCTATAACAACAAGAAAGCTGCGACCGCCGGTAAGATTTCTTCACGACGTCATTCTTTCTGGAATCACCCGTTGGTCGTAAAAATGGTTTAGTCAGCTTTTTTTTTAGTTTAATTTCCTCAAGCAGATATTAATTGGAATGTTTTTTGACGAGATGTCTAGTCAAGTTCTTACATTTTATTGCTCTGACACCCGAATAAATTTTTCGAGCGATAAATTCCAGGTGAACTAACAACTTTTGTTGAGTCCGCTTTGCGATCGCTAAGTTTCATGGAAACACGACAGTTCTTGACCAGGCTAGTTCGAAACTGGGATAAAATTGGATCAGGAAAAGTCAAGGCGACTGATTTGCTACCCTCAGGAAGTATGCTGTGCATGGACCTACTTTGTCTTTGAAAAGCTCTACAAAAAATTGTTAATTGACAAGTTATGGAAAATCTGATAATTATCATATAAATAATATTATTTAAGAAATCAGTGATGACGACTTGTACCTTATAGTAACAATGCGTCACGGTGTACACTGTGTATAGCCAACTTCAAGTTACTTCCGGACGATGAACTATCGACGATTGTGGCTCTTCATCAAGCTTTCGCTCGCACTCTCAAGCTAAAGCCCTCTTTACGTGCAGTTATTGTTAACGGAAGACTGTTAGGCCCATTAACGGAGAGCGAGGACTTCACTGCAGAGGATTTCAATCTTCTTGAACGACTCAGCATGGCCATCTACGGCGTCAAGCTTATGGAGCTATTGGATGGTGTCAGTAGCAATGTGATGATGAAGGCAAGCTCTGTTCTACAGAGATTTGCCCAGAGAAAGGTTCGACATGAGGTTAAGTTTGCCACTGAGCAGTATGGCGTAATCAACGTTTCACGTAAGGTGAGCTGAATATTATTTGGGCATGAGCCGATTATATGTAAAGAAATTCAAAGAATTGATAATTTTTTGGTGTTCTGACTCCGGTTTTTTGTGTGTTTGCAACGTTTAATTCTTTCTTCCACAGGATAAGGACTCGGCTGCTCATGACATTACGGTCATAGTAGATCCCGCATCTCGAGGCGCGCAGAAGGTTTCCCAGATACTACTTTTGCTGCAGCAAGTGGTGAACGCAGATATTCGTGTCTTCTTTAGCTGTAGCTATGGAAATAAAGAGCTTCCACTAAAGACCTATTACAGGTAATTTTAGTTTTTACAAGTGTATGTAGTAGAGTATTTTTGTAATATCATACGTAAGATTCAGCGCTCATTTAGGTCTTATTAAAAGTCAAAAAGTAGCCTAGCGCGTCGTATTAAAATGTTGCACCTAAGTCATTAGAAAGCTTTTAGAGATTACGTAAAACGATGAAATATTTTATTAATGCTTCTCGACTCTGTCAATGAACCAGATTCGTGGCATCGAGCGAGCCCCAGTTTGGTCCCAGTGGAGAGCTTTCAGGACCACGCGCAGTATTCGTCGGACTTCCATCGAAACCCATATTAACCCTTGCCATGGCCACTCCAGAAAATTGGCTTATTGGCGCAGTTAGGTAAGATATGCGTCCTTTTACTAATGTTGACCCCAATACTTTTATCAATTACTTTTATCAGTTAAAGCGATTTCATTACATGATGCATATTTACGTTTTTTATATATATATATATATAG